GCAGTGTCGTACGGGCGACTCGATCTGCATCCTAAGTCGCGATAAAGTTGCATTCCACAGCTGTTGAATGCACATAGTCTGCAATATATTAGATTGTGCAGGTTAGCGGACGCACTGTAGCTCTCCGGAAGATCAAGGGTTTGCGGGCGAAGGGTCTCGGCCTCAGCGTGAGGCCCGAGGAGCCCAGCCCCGAGTACTGCCACGACTCCTATAAGAAGTCTTGACATCCTAAACTCTGCAATGATTTATACCTCCTGAATCCAGAGACATCGCTGTGCGGTGAGGCAGAAGACGCAATACAGGAGACAAGGCCTTCCACTGCACCGAAGCACGGCCGACGAGTCTCGGCACTGCGCAGTGCACGTAGTCCTCCCTGAGCCTATCCTTCTGTGTCTTACTTGAAGAATAAAGCCCAACTAAAGCATCTAATTTGGAAAAAGAAATTTCAGGTGTACACACATGCCGTTTAGGGCATGCGGGACGCGTTGGTCAGGGGGCCCCCTGAGCGACGCTGTGGCTGACGTACCGCCGGACACTCCACTGGCGCCCGTGAGCGGCTGCATGGAGCAGAAAGAGGTGACTAGAACACTTTTAAATCATAAATATCATAGTAACAGCCAATTATGGTGATTCAATAAGGGGAAATGTGCTTTTATTATTGTATATAATCTCTACACACTTAGTGTAGAAGGCGGCCGTGCCTGCAGCTAGCAGCGCCTCATCCTGCCTGTACGGGCAGACAGCGCTGCAGGCATGTTTGCAGCCCACTTTTATTGAAATACTGAGCTCTCATAGATAATTTTAAGACTGAGCGAAACGTAAGTGATATTTGGAGATCGCTGGTGGGCTAAGAAGAAACGTTCTAAGAAAAGCCGGCCTCCGGGTCTCACACGAGCGACTCNGGAGATCGCTGGTGGGCTAAGAAGAAACGTTCTAAGAAAAGCCGGCCTCCGGGTCTCACACGAGCGACTCGCCGGGCTAGGCGCCCTGCAATTCGGGAGCATTCTTTGGTTAGAATCCTAATATAAATGTTGAAACTGTTCCTGCAAACAATAGTAAAAATATTGCAGTCAGGAATGCCTTGGCGGAGTCCGACTCCTGCAGAGTCCCCCCAAGACATCCATCGTAAGGAAAGCCGATGATCCTAGCAGTGGAGGGTCTCGCGCAGCAAGAGAGTCAGAGGAATTTTGATAATTTAATGCCCTAATAGCACCTTTAGCTTTTCTTCGGTCTTCATGCATCCTACACACACCGGCATAAAGCCCTGGACTGCTGCACAGAGGCGGTCATGAGTTGCACCATGCCGTGCTGCAATTTGCAAGTCACATCCAAGAGCATCTAATTACCCCATCTGTTGCATGCATTAGCACTCTATCCAGTCGTTAAACTCCTTGTTAGCCCCAGGCAGCCTTCCTGCATGGAAACAGATATACACGTATGAGAGACCAGCCCCTCTGCCTCAAGCGCTCGTGCGCCATGCTCTCCAACCAGATATGGGTGGAGCGACGGGAGGAGAGCGGTGAAGGAGAGGGGAGCAAGAGGGGGGCCGCAGTCCCAAACAAGGAAAGATACATGAAAACTAGCAAAAGTTGCGAGGGGCATCTGCAGCCCCTATATGCTGCTGCTTCTAAGCGTCCTGCGAGGCGGTTGCCTGCGTTCGAGTAACTGCTGTAGCAGCTGGTACGGAGTTGCTGCGTACCTCCGCACCACACACTCTCTACTGCAGCACTGATGAAAAAAAGTCCTGCTGCAGCAGAGGCTGTGACCGAGCTGCACCGTTACGGCGCGTATTGTTTATGGTGCTCCACCCGTTCCCCCTCATGCGTCTCTTACTTCTGCGTCTTTTGCTGTTGCTGCTCTCGGTGTTTCATTTATCTTTGCTGAGGTGTACGCAGACCTGCAGAGGAAGTGTTTCCCCTAACTCCCTTCGCTGTGTCATGCTGTATCGGAATCTCTCCAATTTGCCTAAGGTGCTGCTGCTATTGTTGTGATTGCTGTAGCTGGTGCTACTTGCGTTGCTGCGCCTGTGGCTGTAGTGGAGCCCTCGACTCCACATCTCACGGTAGTGGGTCCGCCTGGTGCTGTTTACTGCAGCAGCAGCTGCAGCTTCTGCTGCGGCTTCGCTCCTCTCTCGTATGGCTTCCGGGCATTCTCAACTTCCTGTTTGGCTTTTTGTTGCTGCAATGCCCAGCGAAAAGGCTGGGGAATCATAAGCTCGCGACACAAAGCAGCAACATGGAACCCATTAGGAGTTTCAGCGCCCCCAGATTCTGTATATAGGAAGACAAACAGGGGCATCTGCAGAGGAG